TTTTGATAGAAACCATGGCCTCACCTTGACAGATGCTCTAGACTCAGACCGGAACTTGGCGTTGAATCCACTCAGCAAGGCCGAGTTGAAATATGTGGCCTGGGACCAAGAAAAGGTCGAGGTTTTCATCAGAACTTCTGGGTTGAAGGCCTCAAAGTTTGTGTCTAACAAGTAGCTGCCATCGGGACTGATGATGCTGAAGGAGATCTTGGTCTTGATTGGAGGCAGGTTACTGAGGTCATTGACGATGGAAATGGAACGGACGATTTCCTGGAGGGGACTAACAATTCTGAGCAGGGGCACATTAGGGGCTTGAGAAATATCAAATCCAATGGCGATATCGATGGTGCAGTTTTCAACTAAAAAAGGAATAGGAGGCAACTTAATTTCCAGCAGGTAAAATACATTAATCTGATGAAACAGAAACATATTTCTCATCTTACCAGGAGGAGGACGAGGTTCATCACTGCAGATAGCCTCCGAAACCTTCTTCTTGAAACTTGGTAGGTTCTCTATATCACCAATTCTAATAACCTTCTTTGGGTCCCCAGTAATCTGCAGAAGCTCGGTGTCATAGATATCTCCAATTGCTATGGCTATTACATCATCAGCAATTTTCCTATTCCTGATCTCATTGCTTACATCCTCCACGTCATCATGGGAATTACCATCTGAGAACACCACCAAGGTCTTGGGCACTGTGTCGCGGCTGCCTCGTGAGGGGCTAAAATAGTTCTTTACAGAGTTCAGGGCCTTACCGAGGTAGGTGCTGCCTCCTAAATATGCCACCTGGCGTACGCGATTAGCTAATTCCTGTTTGTCATAGTACCTATTGAGGTAAAACTCGTCTTGAAAGTTTTCACTGAACTGTGCAAGTCCAACATGCACAGTCTTCTCACCAATCTGTAAGTCTTCCACTAAATCTGCTGTAAAGTCCTTCACGATCTTGTGCTGTACTGTGTTGATGCTGCCGGAGCGATCCAACAGAAAGACCAAGTCCATCTCATCACACGCTGTCAAAGAAATGCCAAAAGGTCTACAAGGTTAAAAATGAGCTGGATATTTATCATGTTAACACACTTTAAACTTAACTTTAAACATAATACCAAAATATATATATATCTATCTATCTATATATATATATATATATATATAGATATGTATACACTGTGGATTTAATAATTTCTTTCATCTGAGCTTGGTTTGTTCACAACAAAGTCGTAGGGAAGCGGCTGTTCCAAACGTCGCATTTCCGAATTCTCCCGAGTGGTGCACGACTTTACACGAGTTAATAAAGTGAATGTGATTGGTCGATTATCAAGGGGGCGGGATTGTTGTGGCGGAAGGTTCGCAAGCAAGTTTGATCGTGGGGGGTTTGTCGGAAGCATCTTGCTAACCAGTTAGCAACTTAGTGCTAGCAGGTTCCCAATGGGAAATTCCATTGGGACCATTCCATTGGTGACTTAGAAACGACGCTGTCAAGGAACG